TTGAAGTGTGTAGAAAAAGTGCAAAAGTATAGGAATGTTTTGCAAGTAATAAAATATTTTCAAGTATATATTTGCAAGTAAATAAAATATGGAGGGAATACTCATCATTCATTTTCATGGAGGGAATACTATATAAATATAAATACTAAACAATTTAAACCTATGTAAAAGTTGCAAAATCTTTAATCATGTAAAGACTAAACCTATATAGGTTTAATAATGTAAGTTATACCTAAAATCCTACCATTTTCTTTACATTTCCTATCTTTTTCCAGAATCCACACAGCGCCTTACTCTATTACAATTACAACTTATCCACCCGATAAAATAATCTTGCAGGTTACCATCAGACAAACAAAGAATGGAAAAGAAACAAAACATGAGCTAATGGTGATGGAGAATCTCTCATTTGGCCGGAATATTACTAGACAGTATGATCTTAAAGGTGCTCTGCATGCTCGGTTTAATACGGCTAGTGATGGGGGCAGAGACGTACTTCTTGATCAAAACTTTGTGAACGATATGAATGCTTCTCCTTTGTATGTCAGTAGGAAATCCAAGCGAAATCTGCAACGTGCTGTGTGGAATGACTGTGGTTTCCTCAATGTACGTTTGCATTTTTCTTTCCTACTCAATAACTCAATATACACTTTTTATGACTTGTCCAGATGCATGTAGGGAGAGAGAGAGCTATACTTAGGGGTGGGTAAGTAACCAATTAAATTGTCAAAACTGAAGATCATACCGACAAAAACATTGGTTTCCAAATTGCTCATCGGGTTTAAACATGTGACTAAATGTGGGTTTTTTTGGGTTAATGGTTGGTTTTAACTGACACTTGCGAAAAACAGACCCGAGTGGGATCTAGACATTTGAACTTTCTAATCTAATATAGGAATGTGTATTTTACCTGGCTTGCAGATGATCAATGTGATGGATTATTCTCTACTTGTCGGAGTGGACATGGAGCGGCGTGAACTTGTGTGTGGTATCATCGACTACCTCAGACAATATACATGGGACAAGCAACTTGAGAACTTGGTCAAATCCTCACTCGTGGTCCCTAAGAATCAGCTGCCCACTGTTATATCTCCTAAAGAATACAAGAAGAGATTTAGAAAGTTCATCGACACACACTTTCTAAGTGTTCCAGATCATTGGTGCTCTCAAAGGTCATCAAAGCCATGCCAACTTTGTGGCACAGCAGGTCGCGGTGTTGATTCAGCACCCCGAAATTCCCAAAATTTGGGTGGAGATGAGTAGTAGTCAGTCCTCTTCTCCTATTCCTCAATCAACTCGACAAATCCAACTAATTCATTTCATATTTACCACGTCTGTGATCAGTCCTATCAGTATAATTGTACATAGGAAAATACATGCACAGTGTCATCAAGTATACCCACTCTGCGATTTTTATAGCATTTCATGGGGATGATTAGATTCATTTAGATCCAGGTGATTGATTCAACCTTGCAGATATAGATATATACTCTTCTTTAGTGGATGCTGATGCCAAGTAATTGTAAAAAAACCAATTTGACATCTCTACTACATTTTATACATAACATTTTTACGAGTGAAATAATCTTCATTCTCTTATCATTATTATTACTACTATTGTTATAACTATTATTTTCACCCCTGCAACAGGTTGATCACTCTTATTAATTGATATTTGTTGCATACATATATTCTTTGATCCATGGTAGCAATTGAACTTGCACTTCAATCACAATTAACGATAGAAATAAAATGTATTTTGTAGCATTAAGGATTACAATTACTGAGTATTATTGCTGTTAATGTTCGAATGTTCGATCTTACTTTTTCATTAACCATTACTGTTTTATCATTAGTTCCACAAAAAATGTATACGTTCTTACATCTATAGTCATATTATATGGACACATCAGTGGCATCACCCATGCAAAAGCTACTCAATTTAGAAGGTCAAAATATATACTACGTATATATATATATATAACTGAAAATGTGAAACACAAACCACTAACTTGTTATAGATTATTTGTGCTAAAACTACAACAATTGTAATGAGAGATTATAATTTTGTGTATTTTCCTAACGCGGATCATTTGTATGATAACTATATTTATCTATATCGTCAAAATATCTGGAACAATATTAAAATAAAATTCAGCCGAAGGGATCAAACAAAGTGTTTCAGAACAAGTCACGAAGTCAGGGAATACTCACCCACCATTTGCCAAAGATGTGCCATCGTCGAATTAGGAACGTATCAAACAAAGAGAGTTTAGATCGTTTGGATAATTTTGAGGGCTCCTTGTTGGGTTGATCTGGATATGCGTTAGCTCCATAGATGTATTTGGCAGGATTGAAGTTTGTTTTCCTTGAATAGATATTTGTGGGAGTTCGTTGAGGGGAATGTATGAATCTGAAATTAAATAAGGTGAGACTGGTGAGTATGATGCATGTAGAGAGCATAAATAGGATCAAAACTTGTCTTGACTGATGTTTAGAGGTCTTCTACAAGTCACTTTTTCTACTTTTTTGTAATATTTTAAGTCTCTAAATGCTATTAGTTTATATTTATCACAAATATTTTTTAATGAGTTGTTTTTAAAAGTCAGTTTTTTAGAAGTTACACTGAACTTTTGAGAGAAAGTCTATCTTTTAGCACATTAATTAATCACAACTTGTTATGTTAAATATAAGTACATTAAATAGTAAGCTTTTATCTAAGAAATAATTACATATACATAACTAAAATTAATACTGTTTCCAAAAATGTGACCTAATAAGTGTAGTGAACTAGTGACCACGTCACAATAACTTATGCTCAATCTTTACACTTAAATTACTATGAGAGTACAATAACTATTAGCAATATTTTTTAAAGACACTTTATCTAATAGCTACAATTTACTAAAAATCTTTTCGTTACTAAAAACTACTCCGTAATAATTATTAAAAAATAAAAAATTGTCCTATTATGCCAAATATACATGATAGTTTTGATCAAGCTAAAATAGTTGGACTATTAATTGAGTTGAATGAATTACATATTCTGCTCGTTCCATTTCCCACATTCGTTGAACTAGCTCAAGTAATTCATTTTTATTGAATTCAGACTTTTCTCCCAAATTTCCAAGCGGGTTGTTTGATCCTACCTCCGTCCCGCTTAGATATTCTCATTATAAAATGACACACTTATTTAGATGATAATTAAATAAGATAATTCGCGTAGATTTTGAGAAATAATTTTGATGGATGTATAATATAATGAGGTCATTGATGATAATTGTGATATTATAAATGCATTATTTTTAATATTTGATGACGTGCATTCAGGGCCGGTCCTGTCGATTTTAGGGCCTATGGGCGAGATATTATTTGGGCCTATGTTCAAGACAAAAACTAATCTCTAAAAATCGATCAACGAAACATGGCCCACCAAAAGTTATTCTCTTCACTTAAATCACAATTATCTGGCTCAATTTCACTATTTGCTGCTTTTGCACCTATATCACTATTTCCAAGCATGTTATGGTTTTCATTCACAAAAGAATTTAGCGACGATTCAACTTGAGAAGAATTTTTGGGATTCAATTTCTTAACAAAAACAAAATTTTCCATTGCCCCCGTCTTACTTAAGAATGCATTTTCTAATCCTTGTCTCTCTTTCTCTTTTTCCCAACCATATTCACCCATTTTATCAAACACCTTCACAAATAGTAAAACGAAATAAAGGAATTCAATTCAAAATTGCACAATACCAAACAAATATGAATTTACCAAGACAACAAAAATGCATCATATAGAAATCATTATTCATAATTCATAAATCAAAAGAACATTTAGTGGATTTATTATTCATAGCTAATAGATTGGGAATAATTTACTGGCCGTTGTCGGGTTGTTTGAAGCCTTGACAGAGGAAGGTGTTCTAGTCGCTGGCCGCTATTTGGGCTCCTCACCGCTGACCGCTTTGGCTAATGGCGATTTGCAGGCTTGCGACGCTCTCTAATGTCTACTCTTGTGCAAGACGACCAAGACCTTATTAAACCTTAGTCCTTTTGGTAATTAGATAATTGAGTTTAATTGGAACTTGGAAACCACCGTCCAAAAAATTAATTAGGTTAGTGGGATGGGGTGGTTTATGAATTGGGAGTTTGGGAGACACACGGGCTGCTCAAAGAGCTAGAGCGAATAAATATTTTGGTAATTTTGTAATTAAAAGAATTATAAAACTTAGAGATGTGAAGAGACTTAACTACTCAAAGAGGTGTGCCACATGCCTTTTAACCTTTGTTTTAAAAATTTTAAATTTCCGACAAAATTAAACCTTATGCCTAATTACTTGAGTTTAAATTAAAAAAATAAGCCTACTCACACTATATATAAAGACAAATTTTTGGGCCTATTTTTTCCCTCTATTTTTTCGGGCCTAGGGCGGTCGCCCCTGTTGCACCCCCCTAGGACCGGCCCTGCGTGCATTGTGCACATGTAGACTTTTACCCTCTCATAGATAACTTTCTTAAAAACTTTGCACTTTTTTTAATAAATTGCCTGTATATAGATCACAGGACGTTTTTGTAAAATGATGTGTATAACTTTTTCTATATCTCAATAGCCATATGAAAGGTGGTGTCACTGAGTTTAGGATGGTGGCAATGAGGGGCGCAATGGCAATTTAGTTATTTAGTTGGTGTTGGAAGTCGGAATAGTTCCATTGAGGTGTTGTGACATGTCACTTTTTAAAAAGATTTAAAAGCAGTCATGTACTTGAATGTTGTATCTGTTTTTAGATGCTATTTCCTCAGTGATATTCAAGTATATTTATTAGTTAGCAGTTAGCACGGACAAAAATATTGTGACTCAAATTTATGTAATTATTATTAAGATAATACGGTAAATTTTTAATGTAAGCTAGTTTATATTTCCCTGGCCTCCAAGAGTGTTTCAACTAAAAGTGGCCAAGCAACCACGACTTTTATTTATTCCTAGTATACTTTGAAATTTGAAAGACGTCTAATATACTGACCTATGTACTAATTTCAGCATTGATTTTATGCCTGGAAATATACTCTCCTTTATACAATGTGTGTAGTTCACAATATTTCTCAATCTAAATAAATATCAGCCACGGCATGAACTCACTCAAGCAACCACAGGCAAAATGCACACACATATATGAACAAGGGTACCTCGAAATTTATTCGAGCTAGTACAGATTTTTATTTTTATTTTGCTTGCGACAATAGCATCGTGACATTTTATCTACAACCCAACACAAAGCAACTGAGGTGGTTGTTCACAACACGTTGATTGATCACAAATGTGTCTGTGTTATTAACTTTCTGCTAACACAATAACCCCTTCGAAGTTCCAGTCTCTAACAAGGTCCCTTGAGACAGCACGGCTCCGAACTAGCCTGGGGGGACCCCCAGTCACAACAGTACCAGTCTGACCAGCAGTAGGTTGAGGTGTCACCTTAGATTTCGTAACACGGTAAGAGTGTGGGAGCGAAGTCTTCCGGGTCAAGCAACTGGAAATAGCAGAGCATCTTCCTTCATTGTCTGATGAACTTGAAACAGAGTAGCTTCTGAAAGAAGAGTGCAAGGGACTTTCTACACTATGGCATACCAGACATGCCAGACTCATCTTGCTAGGGATTTTTGGGAAGCCCTCTCACTGCTGCCTCCCCCCTTCACTGCTGCTGCATACCACATTTCACAACAAATAGCTTAAAGATTTAGGATATGTTCTCTTTGACTTAAATATTACTAAAATAGAACTCAAGGACAAACTGTGACTACACTTATTATGATATACTGTGATGGTCTCTTGAAGATGTTTAGTCTTTAGACATTGGGTTGGAAAGCCCAACCCCATATCCACCCCAAACTGCCCCACCATGACTGCCTCTTTGCAGCAAGAGGCAGCAAGTCTGAAAAAGTGAAAGCCAGCCAATGGAGTACCATGCACGTTGGCTGCCACGTACTTGGCGCATATGACACATGCATCCTGGGTATATTGCGCAGGCTACTTCGGCGTGATTTTTCTAAACAATCCAGTTTCAACTGAAGAGTTGTAACTTGTCTGGCATTGTTATAATGAGAACATAAAACATACTCCGTATGAAGGCCCAAATTAAAATCCAACGGCTAAGATCATATATCCAAATTCGTCTTATGTTTTTTTCTCAATGTGTGTACAAATTAAACAAACCTATTCTTTCAATTTCACACACAACTTTCATTAAAAAAACATGTCCAATATTATAATTTTTTGCATCAGAACATAAGGTTTTTAAAACTGTAGTTAATTAATCATTAGTAAAAAATGAAGATAAAAAATATGTAATCAAATGACAAAGGTTATATGTCTGTAACAAAAGGCAGTGACATAGTGATAGTATTAACTCATAACTCCTACTTGAATGGAACAAAAAACTGTACTGACGGGGCGTTTTTTATTTTCATACATCAGAGTTAATAGTTGGTTCTATTGAAGATGCAAGGGTGACAAATTCAGATATTGAGTTGAGTATAGAGCTATTTAGATATGGTTCTTATCAAAAGATTGTACCGACCCCATTAGAGGAAGATGCAAGGGAGCTTTACTACCAACTACATTTCAAATTAATTAGCAAAGTTGGCACTTGGGGGGCTATTTATTTCTGGTCCTAATAGAAAATATTATGGTTTAAACGTCTCAGAATAATTATTAAATGAAAATTAAAACTTAATGCTAGGTAGCCAAAATTGTCTCAGCATTCTAATTTCATATATCCATGTAATGTAATTACACGTCACAAAAGTTAAAATCCTAAATTGGCTTTAGGGTGTTTTGTTTAAGACTTGTGAGGCGTGAGCCACCTCATAGGGACAATATCTAAGACTGGAATTCATATTATTCAAATAAGTGTGTAAAAAAAAACAGCATTCCAGATTAAACATGACTACAACACATCATGACACAGTAAATTGCATTATACTCGTAAATTTTTCAAGTTCATAAGATGTGACAAATCATTGAATATCTAAGTCAAATTTTAATCATTGAACCAAGGATGAACAAGAAAAAGAAATTCGGTTGCTACTTCATAAAGCTTTAAAATAATAGAGAAGAGAGCGGTCATGTAGAGCTGCAGAGGAAACTTGTCCAGTAGAGAACAAAAGAAATTGGTTGAGTAATACCCAAAAATCTAAACCTCTACATTTTTAATTGGGTTAAGATTTTTCTTCCTAAAATGTAACTAAAAGCATCCAAAATCTTTTGATGAAGAGAAGCGAAATCGCAGAGTTTGGAGAGTTTCATAGAATTAATGAAACACAATTATACTCCATGAGAGTTATGAGAGTTTCCATGCACCATAGCACCAAACATAAATTACTCATCAAATAGCAAAATGGTGTAATACTCATTTTCCATAAACACCATCCGTTTGGTGTCCTTGACTTCCAATAACCCACAATATCAAATGCCAGAACCAGACAACTTTACAGCAAGCCATTTCCCAAGTACGAATTTAGCCCGGAGAAAAACACTTTGAATATAAGGCGAATTAATTCCTACCCTATAAACTGCAGATTACAGAAAATGCTATACGGAGTTATTTGAGAATTAATTTACCAATTACGGAAAAATGAAATAGAGGTGAACCGAGTAGAGACCAAATTGGATGTGCTACGTATCAGATTAGGTGCTGTTTTTGTTTGCACATACCAGGCATAATAATAAGAACAGAACTACAGCAATTCACAAAAGGTTCATCCAGAAAGAACAAAAATTTCAGAAATTGACAAACAGAAGCATCCTAACTACAAACATACAAAAAAATGAATCCAAAAAAGCAGTATTTCATAAAGACAAAACTGCACTCGCTGTGACGCGAGCGAAATTTATGATGAAGATGAAAGTCGGAAGCATATTGAGAAAGAGTTTGAAAGAAACACCTTAGCGTTAGAGTGCTTTAGGTAATCCAGTCGTGGAGGCGACGGACGGGATTAGTGCAGTACGTCGCCGTCGCGTGGTGTTGGCGCTGATTCAGAAGGGGCAAATAGCTAACTATGGTTTATAACTTTATAATAGGCTAACCATGATGTCACTGAAATGCCGTATGCAAGATGTTTACAAGTATAGAAAATGCGAAAAACAGTTTCTCATTCATTAATTTATGTGGAGATTATTTTATGTTCTAGAAATATTAATTACATAATATTTGTGTATCATGGTTAAAGAAGAGTTTTAATCTTTGAAAGTGTTTAAAACTTATTGGGTGAATGTGATATGGTAATGATGTTTAACATATAAAATAATTTTTCTCTCGATATCTAAAAGCAAAAGAATTTTGATGGAGAAGTTTTCTGCTAAAAAATGCATACACCAAAAGTGAATATCAAGAAAAACGTGAATATAAAGAAGATAAGACAACTGATCATGAAAGATAATATTGAGATAAAAAAAAAGAGTATATGGAAGACAGACAACACAACATAATAGACATTTCATTTTGAAGGTCTCTTATCTCTTAATGTCTAAAAGCAAAAGAATTTTGTTGGAAAAGTTTCCTACTCAAAAATATCTACATCAAAATTGAATATAAAGGAAAAAAATGAATATAAAGAAGACAAGAAATTCATGGGTCTAAAATATTTCAAACGACAAAGAAAAAGACGAATATAAAGAAAACAAGACCACTCATTATGAAAGATAACATTTGGGATTAAAAAAAGAGTATATAGAAGACAAAACAACTCATCATGAAAGATAACACTTGGGGTATGTGTAATATAATAGACATTTCATATTGAAGATCTCTTATACCACGTAATATCTAAAAGCAAAAGAAATCTTGCTAAAGAAGTTTGTGCTAAAAAAGTCAACATCAAAGAACAATAGATTTGATGACATCTGAAAAGTTTTACATTGACAAAAACTAAGAAAATGTAAATAACACATATTCCGCATTATACCAGTGTTTGTGATTGTTAATACTTAAAAAAGTGTCTTTCAAAAGTAATTTTAGAGAAATCGTTTAGTAATAAAAGTTGGTAGCGTTTGACAAAAGATGTGAAAAGACACATGTGAAAAATATTGTAATCTCTTATTATAATACTCGGGTACATAAAAGAAAAAGATAAATGAGCATAAAAACAATAAATATATGCATTCTTCTATTGAAAAATGTACGCATAAAAGCAATAAAATATATAGTTTCTACAATATTTATTTTTGAACTAAAAGAGAAGTAAAATATTACATCAATGTCTTAGCTCTGGATTTTTACTACACAAGTGATGCACCATAAAAACAAACACAAAAAAATATAATTATTTCATTTGATGACAATGACTTTGACCGGTCATTTGTAAAAATGATTTTTATTTCAAAAGATATCGATCTTGAGCAATGTGTTATGTCCTATCAATTAAAGACCTCCAATATAATATATTTTGATTTCTTTAATTTTTATTTATTTTATCACTAAGTTTGGTCGATTAAGTTTATTAATTTTATAAAATTAAATAGTATTTAATAAATAAAATAAAATTTATCAAATTAATGATACTTAGTATTTCATCACTGAATTTCATTAACACCTAATGATTTTAGATTGTCATTCTGGACCCAAAGACGACAATATCCAAAATTGACATCAAATGACATGACTGTAAATAAAAGTCAAGAACATTTGTTCTCCGTGTCGGTTTATTATTGAAAACTCTTGTTTTTAGTCAAACACAGTTTTATTTTGTGGTGTCACAAGTAACAATGGAAAGAGGTTTAAGATTTTGATTTCAAATGAAGATAGACATTCAAGCAACGAAACTATGAATATTGTGAATAAAAAAAGTCAACCATTCTTGGTGCACACAAAATTTTTATAAAAAAGTTTCTCAAAGTCCCTAAGATCTTGAGTAAGTTTGGCTGGTGCAGTTAATTGTACTTCAAATTTATTAAACAAGTGCCTTGTGCTTAGTTTAATTTTGGGCCGTTTAAATTTAGTCTGTTAATTAATGTGTATTTTGGATTTTTCTCGACTATCCATCAATATATACACTCAATATATAATATATATTTGTATAATTAATTTCTTGATCAGTTTTTTTAGGAATAATCACTAACCGTGCAATGCACGGGTGACGTACTAGTTTAAATAGCATGAATGGAGATGCTCCTATAATTATACATATGGAGGATACATTACTTCCATCCCAATTTCATATTGGGTATGAAATTAGGAAAGAAAAAATTATGTGATTAAGATTTGTGCATAAAAGAGAGAAATTAACAAATTCATGAATTCATTACTTGAAAAGGAAAGTGACAAAATTTTTGTGACAAATAAAAAGGAAAAGTCGATCGAAGGGAGTGTAATTTAACGTGAAAGTGTTTGATTCAAACTCTAAAACGCACCTGAAAACTCGACCTCCAAGTGCAAAGTGCAAACAGTGTACTGTCCCACAATGTATTTAACTAACTATGGGATAATTTGAGTTTGCATCCCATTTTATTGTTTAAATTGAACTTTACACCATGTTTTTAGAAATCTTTGTTTTTGCATCCCAACCCCATATGAAAAGACAAAAATGCCCTTGATCAGGAATATGTTGAAAGTCAACACAAATGTTAATGGAGGGGTATTTTTGTCTTTTCATATGGGGTTGGGGTGCAAAAACAATGATTTTTAAAAACGGGGTGCAAGGTCCAATTTGGACAATAAAATGGGGTGCAAACTCAAATTACAATTTTATTTTTCTTTATATACTTGTACATCTTAAATTACATGATCTGTTTTTTATTCTTTATCAACTCATAACAAAAATTGTATTAATCTAAATAAAATAAGGGAAAAGTAATTCAAATACCCCAAATTTTGAAAGAGTGTGATGTAAATATCCAAAATTTGCATATGTAATTTAAGTACCCCAAACTTTACATAAACAATTTTTTTAGCACCATGGTCCATGGTTATAAATTATTTCTTTCTAAATGTAAACTTAGGGTATTAATTGCATAATTTAAAATATTTTAGCATTTGTGAAGATATTTTAGCATTTGCTTAATTAAAAATGTAATTAACATTCTAAACCTCCATTGTGATTAATATTACGTACCCTCAATCTATATAATTCCAACACATAATAATTGAAATAAAAATATTTTGCATTACACAATTAATACCATAAACTTACATTTTTGAAAAAAACAACATATGACCATATTGTGCTAAAAAACTTTTTATGCAACGTTTGGGGTATTTAAAATACACATGCAAGTTTAGTGTGTTCACCTCACACTTTTTCAAAGTTTGGGGTATATGAATTATTTTTCCCATAAAATAAGTATACTAACTTACTAAGTATTGCATTTTCATATTCATACATGATTTTTCTGTAATGTTTTGTATATTCATACACTTTTTTTTTGTAATACTACGAATATTTTTTCATATTCATATACTTTTTATATGTTTGTATTGGACGGTTGTAGCCATATGAGAATGTAGCGTAAATGTGTAATGAAAGTGATAACACGACGAGAGTAAAAGTAAGAAGTCACACTTGTCTACTATCCCTTCAACAAGGAATGGAGTTGATCAGTTCTACTACGTATTTTTTTTTAGGCAATCTTCCATTCTTTTTCGAACCCATAAAGACGTATTATGCAAATTTAATACTCCGTATTAAAGTCTTCATTTCTATCAAAATAAAAAAACTTTTAGAGACCTTTTAACTACAATAACATAGACCCAGGGGTGGAATTGGCCGATAACAATCCAAATACGGAATTGCATATTTCAATAATACGGAATTGGTGAAATGATCCTGCTGAATTATGGAGTCAGCATACCATTTCCTCTTAATGAATTCAAACTGGTGAAAAAATCAGCCATACAATGCTCTGACTACAATTATGCATCTCTTCCCTTACTTGAAATGATCCTGCTGAATTATGGCAACGATTTCATGATGCAAGTCATCATCCTTTTGTTTCCATATCTCACCGTTGGCATGAACTCGCCACGAAATCTGTGGGGAAAGTTGAGTGGACAAATCTGCAAGTAATCAATGCAACAACAAATCATTAATCATCCCACGATGAACCCCAGAAAAATAAGAAAAAGATCAGAAGCACAGACTGCAGCATCTTTTAATCCATGGTCACTGGGAAGTGGGAAGTACAAGTCTCCATGCCAGAAATCAGAAGTTAAGTTTACTTGATATTCTTGAAGAGTTAAATATCATTAAGTCACCCGTTCAACGCATGGAGGCTGACCACTGATCATTCGATCAGGACCTATTTGCTCAACCGTGCCACAGGTAAAGAACACTATCGATTTAAAATGCAATGAAAAGTTCTGTCTGATCATATCAGCAGACTTCATTATATAAATTGCAGCATTAAAAGAAGGGGGCATTGAAAGAAACAACTAATGCAATACAAGAAATGTCACATGTAGATGAAAATCTTTATACCTGAACAAGGAGGGGGGTCGGGATCTCTAGTGCTGTGAAGAACCATAGTACCAGAAAGCACAGTCAGAAACCCACAGAGGACCGACACAATGTTACTCGCACTCTGACCAGACCAGTCCTGGAAAACAATAACAATTTAAAGCACATCTTTCATGTATGCGGAGACTTTCCAGTGTTGACAGGTACAAAATAAAAAAATATACCCTAAACATTATGGCACTGGCTGCAATTGTAAGTGATGTGAGCATCGCATAATAGATTGGAGAAACAACAGCTGTGTTATATGTGTCCAGAGCCTGAAAAAGATACAAAAGTACGGATCAACTTCGAAAACAGGTAATTAAGTTCATAAAATGTTTAGCTAACAGTGCAAAGCTCATGCCCGAGAAGGCGAGAACATATTGGACCCCCAAAATCCAAACTAAGTGTTTTTGTTATAAAAAAACTAAGTGCTCTGAAAATAAAATAATCCTCTATAAGTTAGTTTTGATACAAGATGCACAAATTATTCCCTCTATTCCATTTGTACACTTTCGTTTTCATGTCCCAAAATTATGAACACCTTCCTAATTTGTACTCCACCGACTCTCTACTCTCCCACTTTATCCTATTATTTATTATTTTTCCTTTTACTTTTTGAAGACCATACTGATTT